TGGGAATAAAAGTGCAGGTAGATAAATGACCGGCAGCTCTATGTCTTGCCTAGTATGATTTGAAGTTTGGTGGAGAGTGGCCTTTGCATAGTGTAGGTTTAAGTTAAAAATAGTCATGTGCCAAAGGAAGAAGGGCCATCGCTTGCCAGTGGGAAGCAGCAGATTCTGTTTCTGTGGCCTCCAGTTGTGGTTCAGTTTGTTCATTGTTACCCTTTGTTCTCAAAATAAAGGCTCCAGGTGTTTCCACACATGGGTGTTTTTCTCCCAGGCAAACTGTATCAAAGCTTATCATCTCCCAAGGTTGCATTGCAGAAGGTTTTTGGCAGATGAATTGGCCTTGTGAGAAAGCAGATTGTCAGAAGGGGGTGGTATATAAGGCTCTTTCATGTAAGCGTGACTCTTGCAGACAGGCTGGCATCAAAGCAATAGTAAGTTTTGGAATTGCCCCTAAACGGCTGGATCTGGATTCGGAAATGAGCACCAGCATTCAACCCAAATTTTTAGTTACGGTTTGTTTTTGTTGCCTGCAGATCACTTTGAAATCTAAACTTGGCATTACTCACGTGTGTGCGATCATAAAAAAATAGAATGGGCCACGACTGGGCTGTTATGAATGAGAGAAGGATTATAAAGCACTTTGGGAGACTAAACATTCCACCATAAAACCACCATAGAAACCAAATATTTCTTTTACTACCTTTTCTGTTTTGAAGTCCATTGGCTTTTAGTCGCAATGCTGAATAGCTTCCCAAGATGATCCACCCTTACTTTCCAGAGATAAATGCCCTTAATGTACATCGGCATATTTGTTGCTTGTCCTTTGTGGTACACACAGGTGTGTGGGGGGGGGAAATCATAGAATTGTGGAGTTGGAAGAGACCCCATGGGTCATCAAGTCCAACCCCCTGCAGTGCAGGAATCTCAGCTAAAGCACCCCTGACAGATGACCATCCAACCTCTGCTTGAAAACCTCCCAGGAAGGAGAGTCCCCCACCTCTTGTTTCAGGCTGAAAGAAGCTTGAGAACCTGTTCTGACCATTTGCATGGTCACTCTGCGAAAATAGCTGCATCTCTGCAAAAGGTTGTAGGATGATTCCAGGCACTGGGGAGCTTAAGAAGCTTGCCTTGTACTGAGACAAATGCTTAGCCCATCCAGTTCAGTATTTTCTACACTGACTGGCAGCAGCTCTCCGGGATTTTGGACAGTAGTCTTTCCTAGCCCTTCGTGAAGATGCAACAGGCTGATTTTGGGTCTGTCTGCAGGCAGAGCCTGTGCTTCAACTACAACCTTTCTCATAACTGGGTGGACAAGAGAGTTTAGGGGTTTTGGAAGTAATTGTTTTGTCAAGAAACCGCAGAAAAGTACTGGTGGCTGCAGAGATCACTCTGGACTCCCATTTGCCCTCTAGGAGTCCTGATATTAAAAAGTATGAGTTAAATTCCCTTGCAAAAGTGTGCCCAGAGTTCAGTAGAGCAACACTCAGTAGAAGTCTTAGCAACTGAGGCATGGTATCTTAAATCAATTTCAGCCTTCAGTATTAGCTGTTAATTTAAAGTGCAATGTCTTCAAGTGCTGGTATGACTTTTTCTTTTGCCTTTTAAACTCCTGTAAAATGCTGTGTACATTGATGCCTCTGTTTTATTAATAAGAACAGTAGCAACAGAGCTGCCTGGCAGTGAGATTATTAGAAAACAAGTGATGTGGTGTATTTTCCTCTGCATTTCGCCCCCCCCCCCCCGATTTCTGACACTTGCACTCTTAAGTGTGTTTGTTTTGTTCTGTACAGCTGGATACTTGTAGCTTCCTCTTGTCTGAAGCAGCACAGGGCATCAAACTTGGTTTGAGATCCCTTTCTGAGTGAAAGCACTGATTTCTTTTGTGAGAAGCTAATAAGGTTTTTTAAAAATGATTTTAACATTTGAAACTTACACTCCTATTTCTTGCTCTGCTCCAACCTGTTCTGTCTAGCCCAGCTCCTGTGCAACAGAGCAAGCTCATGGCTGCCTACACCCCAAAGAATCCTGGGAACTATAGTTTACCTCTCACAGGGCTGCAGTTCCCAGGCAGTCTTGCAGGTAAACTGGTTCCAAGCTGTTAAAAGTAAAGGTAAAGGTACCCCTGCCCCTTACGGGCCAGTCTTGACAGACTCTAGGGTTGTGCGCTCATCTCACTCTAGAGGCTGGGAGCCAGCGCTGTCCGTAGACACTTCCGGGTCACGTGGCCAGCGTGACGAAGCTGCTCTGGCGAACCGGCACCAGAGCAGCACACGGAAACGCCGTTTACCTTCCCGCTAGTAAGCTGTCCCTATTTATCTACTTGCACCCGGGGGTGCTTTCGAACTGCTAGGTTGGCAGGGGCTTTATATACTTGAACTTGGCCCAGTAGCAAGTCGGCAAGCAGGGCAGACCTCTGAGTAAAGGGCTTGCATGCTGACAGGGTCTCACTCCTGGCAGCGATTGTGCCGCAGCATTCTGCTGTATCTGCAGCTTCCGGTTCCTAAATACGCTTAGTTGGAAACAAGTCCTCCTGACTTCAGTGGGACTTGCTTCTTGATCAAAGCATGCTTGGAATTGCTGCCATGGGGCAGCAGCTGTGCAGATTCACTGTGGACAGCAGCACCTGATTCAGCTCTCAGTCTTTGCCAAATCATCCCCTCCAAAAACAAAGCGAAGAGGGTAGGTATAAAAGGAAGTGGGGACTTTTCCCCCAGCCCAGATGGCTGCTTTGCCTCCTTAACAAATTGGGAGTGGATGGGACCAGAGGTAAACATGAGCTGACCAAGAAATGCGAATGTTGGTTTTTGCACAGAAGGCTGGTTTCTTCGCTCTCCTGTGTTCCTCTCTATCCTCCTCCTCCCAGATAAGCAAGAGGCATATCAAGAGTTCAGGGTCACCTCGCAGCTGGGCAGAAACACTGGAAAGGGGGAGGTAAAGCAGGGCTGCCAAGGGCTGTGACTTGGGAGGGGGTGTGGGATGGGGAGCGCTACAAGGGCCAGGCAGAGACCTGGACCCCATTCAGCCCCTGGGCCTGAAATTCCACATCTCTGATAGAGCTGGCCATAAATTCCAGGAGGAGTCAGCCATCACATAGGGCTTAATTGCATGCAAGGAGGGGGAGTCCGGACTCCAGAGGGAAGGGAGGATAAGAGGCCCCTTGCAAGTGTTCAGGGTGGACTTGTACCCCTCCCTAGTAGCCTGCTGAGTGGGGAAGAAGTGTGAAAGAGAGAATGGGGCTCCAGGAGAGGAAATGGGGTGGCACCACCCACCACTGGCTTTGCCCCTGCCCTAACAGGTGACACGCAACACCCTTGGCACAAAAGGGATTCTTTGCCAGTGGAGTAGTTGCTGATGAAAGCGAGATAGCTCCTTGCAAGAAAAGGGGGTATATAAATTAAAGAAAGAAAGGCCACACCCACAGGCTGCTTTCTGGTTTAGATTCTGGTGTGAACTGCAGACTCATTCCTGGCCAGATGAAAACCCAGCCTTGTGAAACTGGATGGAAGCTTTTCTTACAGGTGCACAAAGATTAGACCTGTCAACAACAGAAAGCCTTGCCAACTTTGTCCTTGGCATCTGTGCCTCTTCCTCAGTGGCCCCCACCCTCTTGCCAGTCCTCTGTGTGACCAGGCCCAGTCCTTGGATGAGATGCTATAGTTTAGTCGTCGAGGCACATTCCTTGCATGTTCAAGGCACGAGAGGCGATGGCTGGGCTTCCCAGCTGATGCAACTGTGAGGTCAGCGTCCCTTCAGTTGAGATGGTACATGTTAAGGAATGTGCCTCTGGCAAATAACTGTGCTTCTGTATTCTTATTTAATATTGCACTTCTGTGAAATCCGCCGTCCAGCAGCAAGGAGGATGATAGTGCCCAACATGTTTGGTGGGAGATATGTAGCGGCTAAGAGGTTGGATTTACTGTTTGCGACAGAAAAGGGTTGGAGGTAGTAGAGCCTGAAAAGACTTATTGTTTTATATTTATTTTATTGAGTCATTTTTATACTGTTTCCCACTTCAGTCTCGAGGCAGTGCACAAAAATTAAAGACCCATGTAAGCACCAGCCAAGGCCAGGGGATATAAATGTATGGTTTGGATACAGTCCTGATCTTCGGAGGCCCCAAAGGGTCATCAGTGATGGGCACTTGTGCAGGTCCTGAGGGAAGTACAGTGGTACCTCGGGTTAAGTACTTAATTCGTTCCGGAGGTCCGTTCTTAACCTGAAACTGTTCTTAACCTGAAGCACCACTTTAGCTAATGGGGCCTCCTGCTGCTGCTGCACCACCGGAGCACAATTTCTGTTCTCATCCTGAAGCAAAGTTCTTAACCCAATGTACTATTTCTGGGTTAGCGGAGTATGTAACCTGAAGCGTATGGAACCCGAGGTACCACTGTATACCTGTTTGGGGCCATCCTGTAGCACAATAGCAATAATAGCACGGAAATGTAGTTTTTGGGTTTTTTTCTTAACAAAACAGGAACGCTATTGGTGGGCAGATTCCCACTTTGATTGGTTTTCTTTTGAGTGGTGTATGCCTGTTTTCTCCCTTCCACATTTGAAGCCAACGAATCTACCTGAAATAACTTTTGAGACAAACTTGGTGACTTAGAATGCACCTTTTTACGGGGCAACTTCCCCCTTTTTTTCCTGCATTAACCGCAGCCGCTTGGGTCATCTTGTTACATGCCTGGCTGAATTTCCTGTGGTGTCCTCTGCGTTGAACGAGGGGGCAACACAAACGCACGCGCTGCTGGCGATCGAGAGAAACGGAAATGTGTCTGAGACACCTGTCCTTATGGGAAATGGTGTGGGACAGGGATCATGAATAATGGATCATCTCCCACTGGGCATTTCTGACTGCGATGCGGTGTCGGTTTGCAGAGTTGTACATGGCAGATGCGGGGGGTAGAGACCACAGCTGCCTTTTAAATGTTGCTTACTCTTGTTCCTTTTTGAAGCTTGATCACCTCCTTTCTTTTCCTTCCCAACCTCCCTCATCCCAACAGGCTAAAGAAGGGAAGAGAAGATGTTTGGCTTTCACAAACCGAAGATGTACCGGAGTTTAGAAGGTTGCTGCATTTGCAGAGCAAAGTCTTCCAGTTCTCGCTTCACTGACAGCAAGCGTTATGAAAAGGACTTCCAGAACTGCTTTGGGTAAGAGTTGCTGCCATTCCAGTACTGTGTTGGGTTTTCTGAGCCGAAGGCTGTTACAAAATTCAGTGAAGCCTGAAAACCAAAGGTGTACCATGTTGTGTCTCTGTTGATCTCCTTCTAGTACAGGGGTAAGCAACCTTTTTCAGCAGGGGGCCGGTCCACTGTCCCTCAGACCTTGTGGGGGGCCAGACTATATTTATTTGGGGGGGGGATGAATGAATTCCTATGCCCCACAAATAAGCCAGAGATGCATTTTAAATAAAAGGACACATTCCACTCATGTAAAAACACGCTGATTCCCCGACCATCTGCGAAGGCGATTGGGCTGGATCCGGCCCCCGGGCCTTAGTTTGCCTCCCCATGTTCCGGTTTAACCAAGCAATTGAACTATTTTGTGTTCTTCTCACAGTTTGCACGAGGCCCGATCAGGAGATATTTGCAACGCTTGTGTGCTTCTGGTGAAAAGATGGAAAAAACTGCCAGCAGGATCAAAAAAGAACTGGAATCATGTGAGTTTTCCATCTCTCATCCTGTATCATGGTAGGAGTAGCCAGCCTGGTGCCCTCAAAATCTTGCTGGACTAGACCTTCCATGATCACTGATCACGATGGCTTGGGTTGGTGGAAGTTGTTGTCCTGAGCGTTTCCTTCTTAATAGCCATTGTGTGTACAACATGTGTAGAACAGCTGGTATTATGGTTCTGCCATTGCCTGCCTTAATGGATGTTATCACTCATAAGGCATTAATATATTCGATAAATAGGACTGGGAGGGAGAGTTGCATAAGCCACAACAGGGCCAGATACAGTTGGACCACAACTCCTCTGATCCCCAGTGAGCTTAGCCACCGATCAGGAATTGATGGGAGTTGTAGTCCAGCAACATCTGGAGGGCATCAGGTTGAAGGACACTGGTTAGCTATTCCTTCTGACTAGAGGTATGCTGCACGTTAGATGTAGGAGCGGATAGATAAGAAGCAAGGGGCAGAAGCATCATCTCCTAGTGCATCAGAGCAATTCAAAGGGTGGGTACTGATTTCTGGGTTGCAATTTAGTCAAATTTTGCTCTATTTGCATAATACACACAGTTCAGAACATCCAGCTTTACTTGGCACTGAACCTGAAAGGTCTTGGGTGCTGAGTTTCAATTATTATTCTTTTATTATTTATTTTAAAGCACAGTAGAGCCTGAGCAATGTAAAGCAAACTCTTGCGTGCAAATCAGCACACAGCTGCTTTCCCCATTAAAAACAGGTTTTGCAGTTTTTACACCATTGCTTATTGCTACAATTCATCAGATGAGAGTCGATGAAACAAACTTTTTTCTTGCTGTCCTTTTCCAGGTGGTGGATGCAAGAGCTGGACCGAGTCTTAAGACGACATTGAAGCCAAAGAAGATGAAAACCCTTTCTGGCAGCAGGATGAAGAGCAATCAGATAAGCAAGCTGCAGAAAGAGTTGAAGAGACACAGTATGTTAATCCTATCTGCTTTTTCCATTAATGGGCTTGATTTGGTGCAGCGGGCCTTGACTCTGAATGGCTGTACTGTATATCACAGGAGAGGGCCTTTGGTGTATAGAGGCAGTATGAAATTCAAAAAATCCACCATGCTGGCTACCCTGGAATACTCCCTCCTAAATCTCTCTAAGAGGCTGGCTTTAAATCTTGCTAGTTTCACAGCCCTACAGTATTTTTTTACAGTATGTGTCTTGCTTATTCTTGGACCTGAGCAAAGGAACATTACTGGAGGACTTTGAAAGTATCGTTTCTGCAGTTCCAGTGGCTTAGTTGCAGCGTAAAATTGGAAATTCAGTCAAGCTGAAAATCCCTCCCAAACCTGGCTGAATTTGAGACCTAAGGGATAGACATATATCTATTTCAAACCATTTTTTATCATAAATGGGTGAAAACATGTGACTCCCATTTGGCTGGTCACTATCTCCCACCCTTTGTGTATGTACACAATCTTATCCCAAAGGAATCATTCATATTGCAGTTGTTTGGGGATTGAAATGGGATGACACCACCCTTAGCAATCCAGAGAAGAGCAAGATAAGACATTATTTTAAAAAATAGCAGCCACATCTTTACTTATTTAAGTTATTTATATACCACTTAATTACCAAAGTTTCTAAGTCAGCCTGGTGCACTCAAGATGTTTTGGACACCAGCTTAGCAAAGGCTGTTCTAGGCAGTGTACATAAAAATTAAAAGCATACAGTGCATAAGATAAGTTAAAATTAATAATCAGACACATTTTAAAATCCCTGCTGAACTGGAAAATTCTTTGACAAGCATCTGACATTCAACAGGAAGTGGGCAGGAGCCGTTTAATCTCAGCCAGGAGGGAGTTCCACCAAATTGCCCTCAAAGTACTGAATGCAGGCCTCCTGGTGGATATGAGCCATGTGTCTTCAGTCAATGGGGACCACTGGCAGCGATTCCCCCTAAGATCTCAGTGATCCAGGCAGGTCTATAAGAGACCAGGAGGTCCTGAACCTGAGTATCCTGAACCCAAGTTAAGGGCATTATAAATCAATTAAAAAAACCCTGAATTTGAACAGCCAACCTTTTGTGGGCAGGTGTTAAGTGCTGGCTGTAGTCTGTCCCCACCAACAGTCTAGCAGCATTTTGCACCAGCCAGAGCTTTGAGGCCAGGCCCAAGGGTAGCCCTACATAGAACTCGTTGCTGCAATCAAGTCCCGAGTTACCTTTGGCCAGCTGTCCTTGTCTGAGAGTGCTAGGAGTTAGTGCACTAGCTGTTGCTGGTAAAAAGCACTCTTAGCCACCGAAGTGACAAGGGTGGATCCAGGAGCTTCCTCACCCACAATAGGTAAATGGCACATTCCAAACTTCCAAAAGTATTATCAAATGGTTCTCTGCAAGATTTGGGGTAATAAGTACATGGGGGATTAAATACTAACAACCCTGAAGAGAACCTAGGAGAAGTGTAAGCATAACTCAGGGGCGGAAAACCTTTTCTGACTGCTGGGCCAGATCTTTCTCACTCCGACCCCCTAATGGGGTACATTTTCAGAGATTCAAAGAGCAGCACAGGGCTGTTTGCAAAGGGGGGGGCATGCGTTCAAAGCTCTATGTGGCTCTTTAAACCTTGCTGCAGGAGGGGGAAGTGGTTTCCATTTAAATGGCTGTTAAAATGGAGGGGAAGATGTCAGTGGAAGCCACTTCCCCCTTCCAAAGCATGATGTGCCTTCTCTGTCTTGTTCAAACAAAAGGAGACTCAGGAGCTCAACTTTACACTCCCAATTGTTTCTTTGAAGCCATGTCAGTACCTGCTGCCCATCTGAGGTCACATATTGTGTCATGGGCTGGGTGGATGGGTGTGGTTTGGGGGAAACAGCCTTGTGAGCCAAATTGGGACCCCTAGTGGGCCACATGTGGCCTGTAAGCAAAAGTTTCCCCACCCCGGACACTGATAGTAGGTGGACACTTGGGTAGTCTCAGTAGTCTGTGGAAATGTGCTGTACATTTTCTTCATCATATGGACCAGAAACTTGGAGATTTTGAAAGTTGATATTCTAAAGAAATAAAAGACGTATGCAAAACTAGTTAAATACACTGTTTTCCCTCCTCCTTACAGACTCTGATGCCCACAGCACTACTTCAAGTGCCTCTCCAGCCCAGTCTCCCTGCTATAGCAATCAGTCTGATGACGGCTCAGACACTGAGATGACCGCTGGCTCCAGCCGCCCTCATGTCTTCTCCTTCTTAGATCCCATTTACTGGAAAAGGTAAAAAGGAAGCCTGAAACAGAATCAGCACACTCCTTTAATTCATGGTAGAAATCTGTACTATTTCCGAAGCACAACTAGCGACTGTAGAGCTACACAAACATGACTCTTTATAAAAACTTTTTAAAACAATGCTTACAGCAAGACCCTGCTTGAAGGCGGCTCACAGCCTTAGTTTTTAGACAAAGGGGAAAGTAGACAGCGGGAGGAAAACACAGGAAGAGGCAGAGGTTAAAAATGCACATAATTGCAATAAATGTAATCTTAATTACAAGGCTCTTTTGCTTCCGTTCGGTTTAGCAATTAGGGAGCACTTGCAGACAGCTGATGACTCAACATGGTGTTTAGGGATGTAAATAAAGTAACTGGATAGCATGCAGAGCATGAAGTGGGTCACAAGGCATCTTGTTGTTCTCTTGAAAGCAAAGCCAGAGTCCTGGGGCTGTTTCTCCCCCCATTAATCCTCTCTTAGAGGGAAATGATGGATGCCGTGACAGTAGCCAGCAGTTGTATTGATCTCCAAGTATCCCTCTTGCTTTAGGATTAGCTAGTTGCTGCATATATGGTGTAGGCTTGTATTGCCTAGCAAAGATATGTATAACAATCTGCGATCTAGAAGTCTGGGAGTGCACCATTGATTTATGGCTTTTGCTGCTGCAGGGTGTGGTGATAGCCATTAACTTGGATGGCTTTGAAGGGGATTTAGACAGATTCGCCGAGGGCAAGGCTATTCGTGGCTATCAGGCATGCTTGCTAGCTGGAGCCTTCTTGCTCACAAGCAAGTGTATTATACCACTTGGAAGTAAGCAACAGAAAAAGGCAACTGAAATAATCAAAGAGGTGGAGAAAGTCCCCTGTGGAAAAAGGCTACCGCATTTGGGACTTTGTAGTTTAGAGAGAAAGTGAATACGAGCTGACATGGTAGATACTTATAAAATTAAGCATGGCACAGAGAAAGTGGATACAGAGAAGTTTTTCTCCCTCTTGTGTAACACTGAAACTTGTTGACATCCATTGAATCTGAATTGGAAGATTCAGGACTGAGAATAGAATGTACTTCTTCATGCAGTGCATATGGAACTCGCTTCCACTGGAAGCAGTGATGGTCAGCTGTGAAACCTTTCATTGTTCAGACAAGAATTTTAGGAGTAACATTTTTTTCTGATTTTCTGGTTAAACTGCTTTGATCCTTTGTAATTTCATTGAACACCACTTAGATTTAATGCTGCTTTACCTTGCTGTGATGGTTTCATTCTAATCTGTTAGCTGATTTTAATTATTATTACTTGTATTTTTGTATGCCACATCAAGTCCCAACTTTTGTCAAAATTAAGACATGTATGAAATGAAATCCAAATTTATCTTCTTCTTTTCTCTTGAAGGCAAAAAATTTGCTGTGGAATTATTTACACAGGCCGCTTTGGAGAAGTTGTTATAGATGCTCACCTCTTCAAACCCTGCTGTAGCAATAAGAAGTCCACAACTGAGAAGCCGGAGCCACAAGGTCCCCAGTCTCCAACCATCTCCAACCAGGAAGAGTGGTGACTTCCACAGCAGTTGGTGTAAAAAAGAACCTCTTTTTCTCTCTGGAAAGGCTTGAAAGTGACTTTCTCTTCACTTTAGAAGCCTGCTATGCTGCCAAAAGACTCCCCCCCCCCCCCGCGCGTGACCTTCAACGGTTTGAGGATTCCATTTTTTACTGCTTCAGTTCCACTAATTCAGAAACCTGTGCATATCTCTCTCCCAACCCCCAAATGACTGTAAATAATATCTAAAAGGCTCTAAAATCCATAATTGAGCTGAATGCTGCTGCAAGTCATCTTGGTTCAGCCTCTTTCCCCACACAACTCTTCTTCAGATGAAAGGCCATAAAAGAGAATTAAAATATGTAGTGTGTTTTTCTGAAAGAGAAGTAGTGCTCACATTTTGGCATGTTAAAACTTCTAGCCAGTAACCTTTTCTCCCTGTAAGGAAAATACTTATTACTCTTAGGCATGGACCTGGGTTTGCTGAAGTTTGTACAAGACTTCCCTGCTCTGTATATGTTGTAAAGGTGGGGAGCTCTTAATTTTTACTACTGATGCTTTAACAGGGATAAAAAGTTTTGCCTGTCCTGAACCCCGAGGCCAAGGGCTCATCTTTCTGGCCTAGTAAAAGTCTGTATGTGAAGGGACTGAGCATGCAGTCAGTCTTTGGCAAACAATAAAGTTTTGAGACTGGCCCATTCATTACCTTGGTACTGGACCAAGTTAACTTTTCTCTCTCCCCTGCCTGTTCCATTGTGCAGTCCATGTATGATTTATGCATTAATATTACAGACAACGTTCAGGGAGATGAGGGGCTCCTTCATGGTATTGAAGGGACACCCTTTACAAATGTTGGCCAGTTGTGTAGGGCTGTGATGATAACACAGTATATATACTAAGTCCTTGTTTTCAGTACCTTGGTATGGGACCAATTAAGTGTATATTATAATTTGTGATTGCTCTCTTTACCTGTCTAGTTCCCCACCTTGATAAGGACTGAGTAAAAATCTGTCAAAAACTAGTAAATTGCAACTGGGAATAGCAGTCAGTTTGTGCCTGGCAAGGTAAGAGGAGGTTTTGTAATCCCAATCCAACAGCAGAATGCAAACAATGCGGTAATCACTCTTCATTTTATACAAATTTAATTATTATTAATAATAATAATTTTGAAGGCCAGTCACAAAAGCAAGCCCATTCTAGCACAAGCTCAGGTTTAAGATTCCTCTTCTGTGTTTCTGCGCTGTTTGATTAGCTTGGTTACGCACTCAAGGAAGGAAAATTGCAATAACAAACCTACCCACATCCTTATTATAAAGTATTATCTAAAGAGAGAGAGTTCTAGGTATGCACGGCATTTGTTGGCAAATAAGAGAAAGCGTTTTTATTTCAGATATATACTCTGTGTGCGTAAATTACTGTGACTTCTCTTTTTTAAAACAACCACAACCGCCTAGTATTGTCTAGTTAGAGCTATTTCCCAAGTTCACGACACTAAATGTGTATAATAGCCTTCATGTATGAAGAGCCGTCACAGGCTGTAGTCAGTGTCAGTCTTTGTCTATGATCTTCTGGTCCCGGCTGCAAGTCCTTCCTGTTACCCCTCCTTCTCTCCTAATCTCCCAGAAGTGCCTTCAGTCCTTGTTCCTACTCCTCTTATCCCCAGCCTTCAACACAGAACTGCACAGTTAATCCCCCCCATTGCCTGCTTGTCCCCTATTTTGGATTTGCTTCTTCCTAAATGCTGCCCCTCTTCAGTATTTCATGTGACAAACTTCCCTGAAGAGGTGGTGAGCTAATTCTGCCCTACCACCTATGGACAGGCAGGCCTCTCCTAGAACTCCCATGTTTCCCCCCATGCTTTCTCAGTCTGTACTGTGAGAGGGGAAAAGGGTTTCTTAAGCGTTGTCACTGTAGTGTATTAGCCGTAGGACAAGGCACTTGGCTGAATTCAGTTTTTCCCTGAAATCTCAGCCAGCATAAGAATTAGAATATTGTTTGTTTTGTTTTAAGATGAGATTCCCAAGATTCTGATAAAATACGCCAATTGACCAAGGAAAGAGTTCTATCAGCTTTGGCAAATAATGGCTTCCGCTGTAAGTATGCTGCTGTATTTAGCTCATACGGATTTCTCCATTTATTTGAATAGCATGAGAATTTCGACTTGTTTTGTGCAGTGCACTACTACAAACATAACTTTGTCCTTTTATACTTTTTATTAAACAAAAAAATCCTAAGCTGATGCATTAGGAAAACAAAATCTGAGCTATTGTCTTCCTACCTTGTTTTTAGGGTTCCCTTAATTGTGTCCCCCCCCCATTTGTAAATAGGAGAAATATTCTAAAGGGAGGATAAGATAGGTCTTTATTTGTAACTGACTAGCTACTTGGCAGTTTTGCTGGGTTGGTAATCTCTGAAGGATTCATGTGGGAGTCCTAGATATTTTTTCCCTCATCAATTTACACGTTTAAGGTTTTATTTTGTTGTTCGTTTCTGGGTTGTTGTTTTTAGTAAGCGTCAATGGTTCTGTGCATTTACAGCTACAGTATGAAACAATGTACTATGATATGGATCATCTCGTCTACTTCTGTATTTATTTATTTATTACTACAACAGCAGACTGCTTTTCCCTCAGCCTCCTTACTCCTCCTTCCTATGTAGTAATGCAATATGAATTGTATGTAGTTATGCACTTTGTATTAATGTAGTAGAAATCTATGGAACCTGTTTTTATACTTTTTATATTGTTCATACACTTGTAATCCAAACTTTTTTTTTACACTAGGGTAATTAATAAAAAATAGACTTTATTTAGAAAAATAAGTATTTTTCTTCCTGACTTAAAAAACACACACTTTGATTTATTGATTTCACCATTAAAGTGGGTGGGAATTGCAGGAGAATAGGGGCTGTATAGATTCAGGGGCAGATCAAATGCTAATGCTGTTTTAAGAAGTTGTTCATTTTCAAGGATGGATGGAATAAGGAAGAACATCCCGATTCTTCATTGGTAGCCATGGGAAGTTAAGAGAGAACTTACTATGTAACATCATAAACCTTTATGGGTGAATATTCCTGGTATGAAAACTATTTAGAAAACTCAGAATGTTTTCCACACACAGCCCCACCAAACTTTGTCTTTTTTTAAAAAAAATGCAGTGTCCCTCCTGTTCACTGTCACACTTGACAGCTACTTTTACATTTTTAAAGAGTTTGTTTTGTGATTCAGCCGATCAAATCAAGTAGCTAGTTTGATGGCTGCATGACACCATGATGTCAATCAGATTTGGATATGTGATGATGTCATGGGCTGAATAAGGAGAATGCCCCCCACCCCAATTTATTTATTTTTTTGGCAGGGATCTTTCTCTCATACGGCTGAAGAAATGAGGATGAGGTATTTCACAGAGAAACACTTCCTTGAATTTTTATCTCCACAGTAAAATAGCCCAATACAGTCGTACCTTGGAAGTTGAACGCAATCCATTCTGGAAGTCTGTTCAACTTCCAAAACGTTTGGAAACCAAAGTGCGGCTTCTGATTGGCTGCAGGAAACTCTTGCAGCCAATCGGAAGCCCTGTCGGACGTTCGGCTTCCAAAAATAGTTCGCAAACCAGAACACTCACTTCTGGGTTTGTAGCGTTCGGGAGTCAAAACATTTGAGAACTAAGCTGTTCAAAAACCAAGATACGACTGTATTCATTTTGCACCCTAACCATGGCTTTACCAGCATAGTGTAAGACAGAGTTATTCTGGCATTAATTGGTTGCTAGAAGATGCACTGAGAATTCTCTGTGCCACAGCTTGAGTTATTGTGGAATTAATTTCACTTGTATGAATATATTTGCTGCCAGCCAATTAGCATCTTTGATGTGTTTTCTCTGTGACCATAGTGAGCAAGTAACTCCCTAAGCAGAATAATAATGATTTCTATAATTTCCAATTATGATCTGTGTGGGAATTAAACAAGTTCAAAGTGTCACAGGAAAAAAATTGTTGATCCCAATGCTTAGCTGCTGGCAAGAATTTCTGCAAAGCCTATGAGACTTGAAATCCCCTCATATCTCAGTATTGTTGCTGCTTCTTAGAAGTGCTTTCAATAGTATTTTGTACTTAATGTACATCTAAAACAGTTCAGAGCAGATCTTGTCATTGGTTCATGCGGGGTGTTGTTTAATGTACCCAGAAGTGTTTCTCGAGTCTAAATAGAGGTGAATTTTTTTATGTGATATAAATCAAGTTCTGCATCCAAAAACCAGATGGCTATATTGATATATTGACTTCGGCACAGCAGTTGTTCTAAGCAACAACCAGTATGCCTCCCATGGGGATCTCAGTCATGACCTCTATTGGTGACCTTTAGGAAAGCTACTCTCTCCCCCCTCCATCTGGGGAGGAGATAATGCAGATCTACTTTACAAGGTTGGTGCAAAGATGAACAGGGTAATGTATGTGAAATGTTCTTGGGTACTGTAATTGGGGAAAGCATTAAGCATTAATTATTATTACTCCCCTGACCCCACATTATATTTTGACAATGTTACTGTGCACATTTATACACTCTTATCTAAGAGTAAGCCACATCAAACACAGTTGGCTTACATTTCTCTTTAAAATGTTTGTATTGATTTTTGCATGTAAGAAAAGGAAAACAAGACAAAACAAGATCAACAATACGAACAAAAAAAGAAACGCCGCAACAAATGAAAGGAGCTGAAGTTCAAGAACAAAATGCATGTCACAGAAGCTTAACTGAGCTTTCATCACCCAAGAAAAATCATATAATATATACGATGAAACAGTACACCATTGGTGGGTTAATGGTGGTATTTACGAATTCAATACAGATAAAGAAGCAGATTTGATATAAGAAATAAAACACTCACAAGACTGCCTGAAACTTGTCCATCTTTGCAGATCTACTGATAACTGTGATCTTCCAAGTAATGGGGCTTACTTTTGAGTAGACTTGGACTTAATAGCGCAAACTGTACAAGTATGATCTCTTAGTACAGTGGTCCCTTGGTAGTCGAACGGCTTGGCTCACGAACGCTGCAAACCCGGAAGTGAATGTTCTGATTTGCGAACGTTTTTTGGAAGCCAAATGTCTGACGTTGATTCCACGGCTTCTGATTGAGTGCAAGAAGCTACTGCAGCCAATCAGAAGCCACACCTTGGTTTTTGAACAGTTTCAGGAGTCGAATGGACTCCCGGAACGGATTAAGTTTGAGAACTAATGTACCACTGTATCTGTACATGATTGCTGTGAGCCACAAGATGGAGTTGTTTGCTTAAGAAATCCTCAAGGTCTCAAGTGTGTCTGGGGGTCAGTTCTTGTGTGAGTTTGGATATTAACAGGACTGGGGATCTAGTCTCTGTGAACAGATGCACCCAACTATGTATGTGTTTACTCTCAGCTAGCCAAGCTGTATTTATTTAGGCTTTAACGGGTTCCCAAATAATATAATCCATTTTAAGGCCCATCTTTGACCCCCAACTAATTTTGGGGCCTAGGGCAGCTCACAGGCTTCCATGGACGATGACCCTAGGCCTAGATATTATTTTTAAAGACTTGTTCAGAATAAAATGCTATGGCTTCATTGAGGTTCATGGAATGGATTGAGGCAGATCTAAACTTCTCCTTATATACCAGTAACAGTAAACAGACATCAGAAAAATTAAGGGCTGAAAATATACTCTAATAAAAAGTTGCATGCTGCTATATTAAGCGCAAATTGTTTACGGGTAGGGAATGTAATGACCTGACAGTGCACTTTTATCCTTTCTATGATCCATTTGCTCTTAAGGTTCTAGAAAAAAAGCTCCTCCTCCCCCTGACTGAATAGTCGAGTGTCCTGGATTCTGCTTTCAGTAGATCCTTCTTCATTTGAGCCAAGAGGAAATAAAGCATGCCTATGTCTCTCCATCTTTGCTTGTTCCTACACAGCACACAGAAAAAGCTTGACACATTGAATAATCATTATGTGAAACCCCAGAAATCACAAGTGAATGACACACATACTGAACTAAGAAAATGCTGGAGGCTTTTTGAAATATAAAAAGTGGATTCTAGTTACCTAACAATTATCTTGAACTTGCAGAAAGGCAGTTGCATAGACGAAATAAGCTGAATTTCAGAGTCCTCAAAAAACCCTCCCAAATGCTAGCCTCAGGTAGAGGAAAGTTTATGACGCGTTCATTAGGATGCAGGTGGCGCTGTGGTCTAAATTGGCAGTTCGAATCCCTGTGATGGGGTGAGTTCCCGTTGCTCGGTCCCTGCTCCTGCCAACCTAGCAGTTCGAAAGCACGTCAAAGTCCAAGTAGATAAATAGGTACCACTCCGGTGGGAAGGTAAACCGCGTTTCCGTGCACTGCTCTGGTTCTCCAGAAGCAGCTTTGTCATGCTGGGCACATGACCCGGAAAAACTGCGGACAAACGTCGGCTCCCTCAGCCAGTAAAGCGGGATGAGCGCTGCAACCCCAGAGTCATCCACGAATGGACTTAACTGTCAGGGGTCCTTTACCTTTTATTAGGGCTTGATTCTGCTCTTAGAGAACCACTTTGGTAATTTGGATCAGTTTTGAAATAGTTACAGAAATTGCATTGCACTGTGCAGTTGCTAACTCCCTTCCTCCCTGTTCCCCAGGTTGGACTGCTTGCTTGCTTGTTTATAACAGTCATAACCTGCCTTTTGACAAATGACCTCAATAAGGGCTATAAAAGAAAATCCATTTAAAAAGTATAATAAACCCATTGAACTCTACAATAGATGAAACGATAAATGAGCAATAACAGCAGCTTAACTCAGTAAAAGACCACAAGAACTGGGCAGATTTCTCTGCCACCTATAAAGTAGCAATGAAGGTACGAGGCAAACATGCCAACAGATGAAATTAATAGCACTGGAGCACCACCCACAGAAAAGGTCCTACTTTTGATAGCCCTCAAACTTCCACAATTGCAACTGGATGAGTAAGAAATCAATCCTTTAGTATAGCAGCATCTACACTTGGGAACTCCCCGCTGACATCTGGCAGGTGCCTTCACTGTACTCTTCGGCACCTGCTTAAAATATTTTTGTTCAGGCAAGCCTATCCAAATATGTAGACGCTGATATGACCTAATCCTTTTTACTGTTCATTTTCATTATTTTTAACAGTTTTAAAGTGTTTTTATTACCGTATTGGCCTGAATATAAGCTGCACTCCCCCCCCCCAATTCCAACCGTGAAAAGTGCGGCTTAAATTCGCAACCTTACAAAAATTGGCTTACTCTCCCCCAGATGGTTTGCTAGGAGGCTGTTGACCGGTGTTGGGGGGTCATGGGGTGCTAAGCACCAGCAATGGCCGCACCCCCCTGTTCATTGCAGAAGCATTGGGGAGGCTGGCGCGTGGCACACTTGGGGGTCCAGCACCAGCGCCTGCTGGTGGAGCGGGGCGCCGAGCACCATCCAGCCCCCTATCCCCTGTTGAGGGTGGTAGTGCTGGGAGGTGGGCATGCAGCATGCTGGGAAAAAAGTGTCGGGCTGGGGAGCGGGGTGCTAAGCGCTGCCAATGCCCCCCAACCCACTGGTTGGTTTGAGCGCCAGGGCGATTAGGGCGCCATAAAAGCATCAGCGCAGGCCAACCACTGACTCTTTTCTTTTTCTCTCCAATTTTAAGGGAGCGGGTTATATTCAGGTATTGTCTTTTTTCTATTTCCCCCCTTAAAGGTGCGGCTTATTTGTGGGTGTAGCTTATATTTGGGCCAATACAGTATTTAGGGGGGAAGGTTGAGGAACCACTAGTATACAATATTCATTAAAAACAGCAATGAAAAA